TCAGAGTGCCTAATTACAGAAATAAAGCCCAATTACTAGGAATCAATGCAGTCGATACAAATCGATGAGAGAGAGAGAGAGAGAGAGAGAAAGAGACCTGGTAATGGAGGTGCGGGCGTTCCTGCAGGCGCTTGAAATCGTTGGGCATTTCGAAATACCTCTCCATCATATCAAGGAAGAGGTCGTTGTCTTGGGCGGTGCATCGTGGATCTTTGACGAGTAAGGCTCCCGTCTCTCTCAGGGTTCGGCTGACCTCCGCGCACAGGGTCCTTATCTGCGAGTCTTTGTCCGAGAGTGGCTGTTTTCCAGAGAATTCCAAGTATGGTTCGAGATCGACTACGGGAATCTGCATAATTGGGTTTAGAGAGAGAAAAGCGATAGCGTCGGGGAAAATGAAATGCAAATTGTGGGCCTACTGGATTTTGGAGTACGTATGTATGTTTGGGGACTGGCGAGTGGCGATGGCGGGAGATTATTATTCCCCTTTTCGCCTTTTTACTTTCCTTATAAAGTTGAGAGGACAGCAATCTCACTCTCTCTCCCATATCATATAGCTACATTATCTATTATCTAGTATACTACATAATAAAGAAAAAGATTTACTTAAAATAATATTAAAATTTTTGTTTAGAATTTTCTAAGTCAATAATCTTAATATTTTTTTGAAAAATAATGGTTGAATGAAAATTTGAATTTAAATTAAAACAAATGTTATTGGATAAAGATATTGTGTAAACCTTAATTTCTTAAAATATGGGTAATGATTTCCTTAAATACAACAGTAAATTTGGTCAATAATGAGAAATAATCTTACAAATCTTGCTTCCAAAAATCTGATCAATCATTTCCTTCAATTTTTTCGGTCTAACGTATAAATTTGGTTACAAAAATCTGGTTAATCATTTAACGAATAACACATTTGAAATTTTTTTATCTTTTCGAAAAGCCGTGCCAACTTAATTGTTAAATATTTTTTATCCATATTTATCTATCTACAAATCTCATATTTTATGGTCACAATTAAAAAATATATATATTTATTTAATAAATAATGTTAGTTTTAGAAATTAATTTTTATATTTCGGATTGTTCAACTTATTGATTTTTTGTCAATATTTATCTAACTATAAAATCTTTTAAAGTTTAGAAAGAATCTCATATTATGTAGATTCTTGGTACCAATTTGTCGGGCACATCCATTTTCCATCTCATATCCAAATTATAAATTTTAATGCGAAACTTTTTATATCTCATACTTTTAAGTGTATATATATATATAAAGCATGACAATTCATATAATTAATCTTATCATATATCATGTGTGATATGTTATTAGTTTGGTTGGATACACTCATTATATTCAAATAAATAATATATAATTTTTTTATATTTTGTATTTCTTTTATTGCAATAATGAGATATTAAATATAAATAATTATATTTATAATAAAGTTTTAAAAAAAGTTTAAGTAACAAGTCCATCCTTACATCGCACGTGATGGCATTAGTTATTATATAAAGAGACGACCCAATAAACCCTGAAATATAAACTAAAAAATAATTAGTATTCTCGCCTAAAAAATTACTAAACATAGTAACGTTTTTGAAAATTTTTAAGAATCCTGCCAAGCATAATTTGAGATTTTTGGTTAAAATTTTAAGTTCAAACATTTAAGGAAAAGATTGAATGCATATTTTTTTGGGTATATTCCATCCTTATCTTAAGTTTCATGTAATCTCTTCATTGTAACTCAAGATTAATGTACATTAAATATTTATCATTATATATATAGGGATTGGTTCCAATGCATCCGCTTATTTAAAGTGAGGAGGTGAGACTCATTCTTAGCCACAAAATTTAGATATTGATTTAAATAATAATTCTTTGTTTTTATTATTTAATTCTTTATTTTTAATTATTTAAATATTATTTTGACCATTGTTCGTTGACTCCGGCGTTGACCGTTGACTTTCGGCGAAAATCGTTGACTTTCGGCGTTGACCGGTTGACCTTAGTATGCATCATGTATGAAAGAATAATTAAAGTCAATTAATCTTGCAACTAAAGACAACTAACCTTGCAACTACAGACAACTAACCTTGCAAACTGAATACAACTAAACATTGCAAATAAAAACAACTAACCCTGCAACAAGATAGAACTAATTAACTTTGCAACTACAGACAACTAACCTTGCAACTAAAGAAAACTAACATTGCAACTAGACAGAACTAACCTTGCAACTAAAGATAACCAATCTTGCAACCAAAGACAACTAACCTTGCAACTAAAGACAACTAACCTTGCAACTACAGACAACTAACCTAGCAAATTGAATACAACTAAACATTGCAAATAAAAACAACTAACCCTGCAACAAGATAGAACTAACTTTGCAACTACAGACAACTAACCTTGCAACTAGAGAAAACTAACATTGCAACTAGACAGAACTAACATTGCAACTAAACATAACTAACCTTGCAACTAAAGACAACTAATCTTGCAACTACAGACAACTAACCTTGCAAACTGAATACAACTAAACATTGCAAATAAAAACAACTAACCCTGCAACATTTTTACAATAACGTTGCAACATATTTATACTAACTTTACCTCACCATATTTACTGCATACACATACATATTATGGTCAACGGGTCAACGACGAAAGTCAACGGTCCACGCCGTAAACCGACGATTTTCTCCAGAAGTCAACGGTCAACGCTGGCGTCAATTAATAATTATTTTTATTATTTAATTAATGTATATTTTAATTAATTAACATAAATCCTTGATCTAGACAAAATGAGTGGCTAATATTGAGTCTTAAGTACTCATTTTAAGGAGTGGTCTCATTGGATCCACCCCTATATATATATATATATATTTATGATGAACAGAAATAAGTAAAACTATTATCATTTTTTTTTTTTATCAAAAAGTAAATACATGTGCTAAAATATTATTTTTATGAATATAAACGGTATAGCGGGCTATTATAAAGTTAAAATAACATTTTATAAAAATGGTTTTGAGGTACAAAATTTTCCATGCATAGCACAGGATGCTTGCTAGTTATTTCACTAAGTATCTCTCTATTTAATTACACATTCACATTGGTTAATTCATCCTCCTATATAAAATTTCAGAGCATGTTGAACTTATATGATAGACCCGAACGCTTCTAATTTGTCACAAATATATGCTTTGTTTATAAATATTGAGTGCCACATCATTTGCCAACTAGGTTTGATATTTTCAAAAAATTAATAACACTTTCCTTTATTTTAATTTTCTCTTCTTCCATCATATAATCCACATTCACTATTCCTTAACATGTTTCTCTTATCAATCAATTATATTTATTACATAATTTTATTATTACTAGTGCGTGGCCCGTGCAATGCACGGGAAAATAATATTACGATTGTATTATAAATTAAATATATAAATAACATTAATCATGATATATGTATTGTTTTTACATTAAACCGGGTTGGACACAGTCCGACCGGATGGACCGAGAACCGATTTATAACCAGTCTAGTTCGCTTGAATAAGATATTTGCTTTTGAATCCGTAAACACCAGTCGGTTGGATTTGTAGGATCGACACAATTTTTTAAATAAATTTTATTATATTTAAAATTATTTTAAATAAAATTACATATTTAAATAAAATAGAGATTTATAAATTATTTATCAATTAGTTTAAACATTTGAATTTATAATTTTTTTAAATATCTAAGGAACACATTTTGTTTAAATTTATTACAAAAAATACTATACATATATATATTAAAATATTTATAAATTAAAATCTGAACAAACCGCAAATGATTTAATAAAATAGCTTGATCGTTTCGATGACGGTCCAGTTCTGAGAACCTTATATTTAATGTACATTAATAAATATTATAATAAAACATTTTTTTCACATAAATATTAATAAAATGATATATAAATATTCATAAATCATTAAACATATTGTCATAAAAGTATTTTTAATACAACTATTTGAAATTTGGACTACATCACATTCACGTAATAAAATATTTTCAATATAAAATTTATATTTAGGTTCAATAATCGATTTGGTGTGATCGAACTGATTCATAACTTAGTCACCTGGGACCAACCAAGCCAACCAAGTTGTGTCAAGTTTTTTGACTATTTTAAATATTACCTAAAAGTAATTCAATCAACTTGGGCAGTACCCTAATTCAATCACCTGATTGATCTGAAGAAATTTTCTTATTTTCTTTAAATATATTTAACTTTATGAAATAAAAATATTTTATGATTCATATAATAAATGTCTACACTAACTGATAGTATATTAAGATTATAAATTATATATCTTAAGATGAATTAATTATTTTTACTTTATGCATATTAATGAAAAATAAACATAGTAATTTTCAAAAAATTAAGATGAATTGATTGATTATGCAATTTAAAGAATATTTTCAGCTGTCAATCTTTTTTAAAGGCACAAATATAAAGACCGAGATTCTAAAACTTTTGTTATATTTTGAATTGAGATTTTATAAATATAGAGACCGAGATTTTAATTTTGTTCGTTGTTTCTAAAAAATAAATAAAAATAAAAAACATACACACTTAATAAATCTTAGCCGGATTTTTTCAATCTATACTTATATTAAAGGGGATACTATTTACCAAATTAAGTAGGCAGAAAAGTCAACAGCATTTATTGCATTACTATTTCCGTATTATGCTATATAAAAGGATATTCTATTTACTACATTTACTATCCAGAAAAGTCAATTGCATTAAATGTCATTACTATTTTGGTATTATAATATTTTATTTATTTAATTAATTTATTTATTTGTTTTATTTTAAAAAGGTAAGTATAATAAAAAATATTTAATAATAAAAAAATCAAATACCAAATAAAAATGTACACTTTGACTTATTTGATTATATTTGGTATTTGATTATACCAAATATATTCCTATTTAGTATATACATTAAATACTTACCAAAATATTTATTTGTTTTATTTGTCAAAGTTAAGTATAGATTTGTTTATATTATCAAATCATAAAAAAATATTAAATTCATATTGTTAAAAAGAAAATCATATAATTTTATAACAATTCTACTACACTATTTAACAATATTTTTTTTATTATATAATAAAATAATAATTAAATATTATATGGTGAACAACAATAAGTAAAACTGTTACTTTCTCTTATATCAAGGGATAAATATATATGCTAAAATTAAATTTTTATTAGTATAAATGTTTTAGTGAGATAATATATTAATTATTTTACAAGCTAGCCCTAACATGCTCATATTTAATGTTTTAAGAGATGTAGAAAAAAACTTATAATAACTCTATTGTTTTTTAGACTTAAACGTTAATTAAAAGAGGTAAAAATTCCTAATTTTTTAGACTTAAACGTTGATTAGCACCATAGATTGAGAGTTTATATTTAGTAAAATTCCTAATTGTAATAAAAA